TGTGTATACGTGTGTGTGTGTGTGTGTGTGTGTGTGTGTGTGGGTGGGTGGGTGGGTGTTTTGTATAATTTTATAACTGATAGCAGACCTCTGAGACCTGCCTTAGTATGTACAAGTGTTATATACAAGCGACAGGCTCAGTGCACTGGTTAAGTGCGATGTGGAGTGATGCCTTTACAAATGATGTGTATGGCGAGGACGCACACACAATCATTACCAGTGAGCCTATATCCAAACACTTGACATGTGTATATAGGCTGACTATATGTCGATGTGTATGGTTATTCCTTCAGATCTGCCGAAGTAGTTGTGTACGTATCCCTCCTCCCCCTACAGTATGTACATATGTACAACCACTCACACCCCTTCACCTCATACCTCACCGTGCATTTATGCCCTACCGCAGTCGTTCAACATGCTGGTGGGTCAGTACATAGTCAAACTGTACCGTTTCCGTGAGCAAAAACGTCAGGCCCAGGAAGAGGAAGGAACCGAACCAACACCCTTCAACATCGCGTTCAATAGAAACTCGGGGGGCAAGGATGATCCGGAAGTACAGCTATCCAAACAGCTCATTCTGGACACACAGGAGAGCTTATTTGAGGTCCTCCCGCGAATTCAGGTGTGATATTGGGAACGTCTACTTGTAGATGTGCGCGAATTTGAATCAGTGCAGCTGATATATGCATACATATACACACACATATATATATATATATATATATATATAGCTGTAGATGGGTGTAGGATTCTGTGGGCGTGTCTTCGGGTGGTATATGTATTTGCATAGGGCTGTGTCGCGCCAGTAGATTTTGTATGTTGTGCATATTAATATGGGTTCAATTATAGAGTATATTAATTCCGCAGCATGATAACTTCTTCGAGGCTTTAATGTGAATGAACACATCTAGCTGATAACATATACAAACTTGCATGTATGTATACATGTAAAGAACAAATATGTCAAATAAGTATGCATATATATATATATATATATTATAAAATACTCTGCTTGAATATGGCTACCAGCACATCTTTCCATCTATATGGCCATCCCCCCCAGTCTCTAACCCATTGTTTCATGTGAAAGACCTCAACCCACACATTTATAATTCCTCGCTCTAAAACCCTAAACCCCCTTCTCAATCCCCACAGAAAGACACGCGGATGCAGTTCCCCAATCTGCCTGGGTCGCATCTGGATATGAAGTCACCGGCACTATCGCTTGTGAACTTCTTGATGAACGTGCTCAAGCTGGATGCCCGTGTGACTACGCAGGTTAGTGGTTGGTGCTGCAATAGGATGGGTTGGTCGAGTGAAGTGTGTCTTAGTTAGGTGTTGCTATCTTAGTGTATAT